TTGGGGAGGGGTGGATTGGGCCAAGGAGGGCTGATGGGCCGAGAGAGGGGAGGGGGTGGATTGGGCCGTAGGGAGGGGTGGGTTTGCCGGGTTGGAGGGGTGGGCCGAGGGACGGGAGAGAGGGTGAGGTGGGTGAGTTAGGGGGTTGAGTCCATCATCGGTGGTGTCCAGAAATTGAAGATCGGGAGGGGTAAGGGGGTGGGCGTATGGAAAAGTGTGCTCATCGAAGACAACGTGGCGAGAGATAATGATTTTGTTCGTTTGAAGGTCAAGGCATCGATAGCCACGTTGATTCGAGGGGTAGCCGAGGAAGACGCAACGAGAGGAGCGTGGTGTAAGTTTGTGTGGGGCGGTGGCGGAGATATTCGGGTAGCAAAGGCAACCGAAAACGCGGAGATGAGAGTAGTGTGGGGGAGAGTTGTAGAGAACACAGTGAGGAGTGCGGTTGTTTAACACAGTAGTGGGAAGAGTGTTGAAGAGGTGGGCGGCCATATAGAGGGCTTCCACCCAGAATTCAGGGGGAAGTTGAGCCTGGAAGAGGAGCGAACGAACGGTGTTATTAATAGTGCGAATGGTACGTTCGGCGCGTCTGTTTTGTTGGCTAGTATGGGGATAAGAAAAACAGAAAAGAATACCCAAAGAGGCAAAAATATTTTTAAGAGGTGAGTTTTTGTATTCAGTTCCATTATCACATTGAACAGATTTTATTGTTGTATTAAAATGATTTTTCACATATGCCACAAAGGAATTTAGGTGAGTAAAAGCATCACTTTTATGTCTTAAAGGAAACACCCACAAATAATGAGAAAAATCATCTAACGGCAACATATAAAATTTAAAACCAGTAACACTTGGCACAGGTGATTGCCATAAGTCTGTATGCAAAAGTTGAAAAGGAAAATAAGAGACTCGACTCGAAGAATAAAATGGGAGGCGCACATGCTTTCCCAATTGACACGCATGACAAAGAGTTTGATGATAATTTTTAAATAAAGGAAAAATAGAAGGGACACCACGCAG